CTTTAAACACTTCCTTTTTATTCATATATTAAAAAGCTGCATGCTGTTTTTAGTTTTATATTCACATATGAAATTATATTAATGTGTAAAGATGCGCATGCGCACACACACACACTCACACTCACTCTCACTCACTCTCACTCACTCACTCACTCACTCACTCACTCTCACACCACACACACGTACGCGTTGGCATGGCAGTCCATATGAATACATAAATCCAGGTATAAATCCAGAAGGGACTTTTGACTTCTCTTCCGTATGTTTGCAGCGTGGAGTTTGACAGCAGCGGCCCACGGCTCTATGACGGGTTGGGCCTGGCTTTGTCGTAAAGCATTTTAAAGCCCCCCGCGCAGCATGAGTACAATTTTACCAGCCTTTGCATGGGGATGTTCATGTATGCGTGCGTCAGAGAACTAATATGCGACATGCATAAGACACTGCATAAGGTACTAATACATAAGTGCTAATACACACCTATGACTTAATTGGTCTGTCAAGCTAATTCATTAAATGCAAGGACAGGGTTTAGGATTGCTGCTGTTACTTGTAATGGTGCGCCGGAGAGCTGAAGGGATCAAAGAAGGTATTTTGCTGGTTCCCTCAGCAAATGCTTTTCTGACTCAGTTTAGACTTGTCCTTAAGCAAGTAGGCCATTTAATAGGGTTGTTAAGGCTCTGGCAAAATCATCAGTTTGATCAGTGAGAGTAATTTATGCGCCCCTCGGATGCTCTCGCTTTGATTAGGCAGATTATTTTCTGTGGATCTTCAGTAATTAAAGTTATGATAAAGACGGCGGGGGCGCAGGTTTGTGCAGGGGTGTGTATGAGCGAGGACTGGTGCCTCATCCCGGATGAACGTCATGTGGGGCGTCTTGGTTTGGTCATCCAGAGGCAGCCATACAGCTACATATCCCCACGCTGGGTCTACAGCTCTATCCAGCAGTATATATATGGTGGCATATGTAGTTCTGGAAAATGCCCTTTCTGTATATTTAACATGGATGAACATAACTGTGTCGGTAGGTGGCTGTGGGTCCTTGCGACAACTGACAACGGATGTTTCTGCCGAGTATTGCCCCACCTTCTAGTTTCAGCTGTTATCGTGACTTAATGCAGATTTTAGGAAAAGGCCGTTGCTCGCTGAGGACACTGGGTGGCACTGTGCGGTTGCTTGTGAAGCCCCAAAGACACTACAGTAGTTAGGAACAAGGGTACGTGAAATTAGTAGATGGAGCTGCTGGTAAAAGCTTGGCTGTATTTGTGGCCCAGTTAGGGGGTACTGGTGAACAATAATAAGACACTGTGACTCTGTCGCCCCGTAAGGGTCACTGCCCATCAGCCTCACATACAAATTTTAAGCCAAAGCCAGATTTTGAATTCCTTTGCTCATAAATTATGAGAGGGAAAAAACCCCAATCTTTTGGCCTGAATTTTTATGCCGGGTGAGGCTGCTGGAGAAACACAAAGGTTACAGAGCGGAACATACAGATTAAAGAATATTCTTTCTTTCTTGTTCCCAGTTCTGATGTAGGTCTGTCTCAGATTCACAGTGTCCTACAGTGACCCTAAATATGTAGGTTTACTTTTATTGTGTTAATGCCATTAATGTTTCAAAGGTAGGCCTGTATTTCCCTCCCTATAAACAGATTTGTGCGCCAGCCTGGAGCACAGACGATGCGTAGAGGGAACGCACAGTTCATTCTCCTGTTACCATCATCCTGAATTAATATTGTTCACAGCTAATCCTGGAAGTCGGGGTGGACAACACAGATTTGAAAAAAATATGAGAGTTTGTTGTTCCAGATCAAATACAGTTTCCACGTATTTTTCTAGGATTTTGCTGACAGTCAGACTTCCTCTGGTTGCTAAAAAGAACAAGCAAAGTATTTCACAGGCCAGGTTTTTATTGTCAAATAGATTACTTTTCACTATGTTCCCATTAATGTCACTGAAAATATGTTCCTATCCAAAACAACAGTATAAACAGTTACCAACATGTATTTTTGTTTATTGAGAAGGCTCTGTTTAGTTTATTGAAGCTTTGGCCTCTCAACTAATTACAAAATATTCAGCAAATATTTGACTGTATTACTTATCTTATTCCCACAAATTAGTGCAAATCTTTGTTTAACAAATGGAGTTCAAGGCTCTTGCCCACAAGGTAAAGTATACATTGCAATCTCTTTTTTGCAGATAGTCTAAAACCCAACCTTTTCTCAATGATTCAACAGTTGAAAATGATCTCTGTAAATCAGTACAGAGAGAGAAGTTGCAGCGTTGCATCTAATACCCCCAAATAAGGCACAAACCACCCAAAGCTCAATACTGATGTTTGACTGTTCCCAACATATTGTTTGCTCTTTTTAATATGTTTAGTAGCTTCCTAATATTTTTAGGTACAGCATCATATCCTCAAGTGAGAAACCTTGACTGCGATAAAGCAAGAAAATAATCTTCTGTAATCATGGACTATATTGATGTTGTTCCTTTATACTACATTTCTGGTGGTTTTTTAGAGATAAGTTCTCTCTTAATTCCTCAACATTTGAATGAAGTTTGAATAGCATCTAAAATGTTATTTCATTTGAAAGTAAGTGTCAAAAAGGAAGACTATATGATTTTAGAAAATAAAACCATCAAACCATTATCCAAACCATCCATCAGCTGACTCATGGACCTGAGGTATTTTCAAAAATAGTTAAATGATAGAGCACCTGGATTGTTGGCCTTTTTAATTGTTAAGCACTTTTGAAAATTTATCTGTAATTACATTTGAAATCAAACTAAGAACAATGTATTCAAGTAAAGAAGCCGTATAAAAACTCTGTTATTCTTTGCAGAAATCAAAGGTGTTTCTTCAGGGTCTTTTACATGGCTATATTACGTAGAAAAAATGCTGGAAAAAATAACCACCACAAGAACATTAGTCAGAAGTCAAATGGCATTTAGCAATCGTGCATCAGTGTGGTTTCCCTGTTCCAATTTAAAAGTGCATAATATCACATCCTTACTTAAGAATACATTCTAGCAGGAGTGAATGGGTCTTATTGATGGTGTGCATGCAGCAAAATAGCCTGCAAATTCTTTCCAAAACGGTCCAAATGGAAGCCATAACTGACATGAGACAGATGAATTTCAGGCTTTTTCTTCACTTAGTTTTCAAAAGAGACAGACCCATTCCCAGACGGTGTCCGAACAGAAGCACAGTCAGTATCTATACTAGTTTCAGAAGTGGAAAGAAGTAGAAAGCCTCTCGCATGCAAAGCAAGTGAGAGCTGATTGTTGCTGACTCAGAAGTTCTCGAGGCCTTTCACTCCCAGAAGTGTGAGGAAGCATGTTGGCTGGAGAGAGTGGACTGTTGAATTGGCAAAAATGTTGCCCTGTACTTTTTGACTAAAATTTAAATACTGAAAGAGAAAGAGAAAGATGACATACAAAACTGTATTTTTTTTTCATTTTCACTTTTCTATTTTTTATTTGTAAAGCGGTAGTTTTCCTAGCACACTGGCAGCATGGCTTCAACACTACACAGCTGTTTAACCATCTCTGTTTCTCATCCAAATTATCAACTCACTCATAGACTGGCCTGGCAAAAGAGTCTGTGCACACCAATCTATATAGCTTATTAGTAGTACAAGCCAGAGTAACTTATGTTGATGATGGATTGTGAAGTAAAACAGACATTTTTTTCAGTATTTACTTCTGGGTTTTTTTCAATATTTGTTTTTGGTATTTATTTTTTTATAAGAAAATTCACTTCTAGAGCACCTGAAAAAACAGGC